CCAAGCGTCGCTGTTTGAAACAAAAGCGCCATATACTGCGACTTTTTTATAGAGAAGGACAACGCATTTCGGTGGGTGTTACAAGTACTGCAAGCACTGCTTCTTTTTTGCAAAAATAAAAACCTTTTTCACATACTAAAATGTGCTAGGAAATTTCCATATTTTATAGAAACTACAGTAGAAATAGTATAGATGTCGAGTAATTTTTATTTAAGAAAAAAGAAAGCTCATTATCTCCCTTTAACCCGCGCCCCATTCACGGTTCGTTGGAAGGTCATCTCAGGCTCAAAAGAAACGGTATATACCATTCGAAAGCTGACGATGAGCTGAATCTAAAAATGTAATTTTTATCAAAATCGATCGATGGCCTTTTTTGAAAATTGCGTTTTTGTAAAAACTTAATAATTTTGTATTCAACGGGCTGTCCCGGGCATTCCTGAAAAAATAAACATGTTTTTTCGAGTTCCAGTGAAAGCTGAACGCCAAAAGAACAATATTAAGCGAAGCAATATTTCCTAACATTAATATGCGTCTCCCACAGCCTACAATAAGGCGCAATCACACAGCTCAGTGTCACGATGGACCAAAGTCAGCCACACAGAAGCGTGAAATGACCCTTATCGACTCGCACACCCGGCGCTCTCGGCCCGCCTGACCGGCCACGGAAGGAACGATTGGCTCTCGTTCTATTAAACAAATGTCATGTTTGTCAGTTTAACTGTCTACATCGCTATTAAAGTTATTCAGGATACCTGTGAAGAAAATTCATTGTTCTGCTTTATTTAAAACACGCTTTAATTTACATTTTTCTTATGCATGTTTTGTTCCATCCAGCTGCGCTCAGTGCCCGCGCAGGGGAAGTGAGCAGGGTTTCACTGTCAGAGGCTGTACTGGTGACAGCTGCTCGGCCGTTCGACCGGTCAAAGGTTACCCTGCCCCACCGGGCGCTACCCCCCACTCCACCCGAGCTGAGGCCGGTGCAGCCTCTGACATTTCAGCGCGGCCAATTTTCCTTATATGGGCATGATACCAAGCTCAATTGAGCAAAGTAGACATGAACAAGTGCAAATTAATGCATGATGTGAAGATGACAGAGCAATGAATCTTCTGCTCATGTATCCTGAATAACTCAAGTGCCGACTTGAATTGTTTAACTAACAAATATGACGCACGTTTAGTAGAACGACAGCCGAACCTCCTTGCCGTGGCCGGTCAGGCGGGCCGAGAGCACCGGGTCTGCGAGTCGATAAGTGTCATTTCACGCTTCTGTGTGGCCGACTTTGGTCCATCGTGACACTGAGCTGTGTGATTGCGCTTTATTGTCGGCTGTGGGAGACGCATATTAACGTTTGGAAATATTGTTTCGCTAAATATTGTTCTTTTGCCGTTCAGCTTTCACTGGAACTCAAAAATACATGTTTATGTTTTCAAGAATGTCCGGGACAGCCCGTTGAATAAAAAATTATAAAGTTTTTACAAAAACGCAATTTGCAAAAAAGCCCATCGATCGATTTTGATAAAAATTACATTTTTGGATTCAGCTCACCGTCAGCTTTCGAATGGTACATATCGTTTCTTTTGAGCCTGAGATGACCTTCCGACGAACCGTGCATTGGGGTCTGCCGAGCAACGCGTCCTGCTGGGGGGGGGGGGGGCAAATTGGCCCCCTCCCCCTTAAGATCTCGAGAACCACGCAACCTAGCGACAAGCAGTAAACGGCTTTGGATAGCCCCAACAGGGAACTACCTTGTGACCCAATTTCGTTGACCTAGGTCAAACCGATGACGTCACAGGTCAGGTCAAATGTCGAATTTTCACCGTTTGCAGGCATTTCAAGAAACGCGTTGTAAAATCGAGTAAAGTGCATTTCATTGCAAATCATCGATGGGGTATTGTTTGTCAAACACATATTTTGCTATTTAATGTCACTGATACCAGGTCAGGTCACAGAGGTCAGGTCACTGAGGGTCAAAATATGAAAATACCATGTGATGCATCTTTTATGGTCCATTTTACATGACAAATGCGATTATGTGGGTCAGACAGCCTTTGGGGCCAGTTTAGGTCATGTTCTGGTGAAGGTCAGGTCAAGATCAGGTCAAATAAGGTCAAATGTCAAACTTGATATTTTTGCATAAAATGGGTATTGATTCGATGCAGATCGTCACGGGGAGTCTAATGGTGGTCTTTGTTTTGCGCTACGTGGCCTAGAATTGCTAAAAATTGAGTTCAAAAATGTGATGTCATCAATTTTGAACAGTTTTTCCGCTATAACTTGGCCAAAAAAGAGGTATCGATCTTAAATTGGTATGTAGATAGAAGAGCGCAGGGAATATCACATATATTCCGGTTAGTTCGAAAGTCAAAAAACTTTTGGTATTTTTTGCGTTTTCTAAAAAAATAAACTTTTTGAATTTTGGGGGTCAAAATCCCACAATATTAAAATCCGAGATAGCAGTTTTGTAGCGCAGTCTTTTCTCTACATGAATATATAAAGAACTTTGAAATTGCTTAGTAACTGTAGCTTTTGTGAGCGTTTCAAGATTTCATGTTTTTTGCTTATTTTTGCTCGAACATGACTTTTTTTATAAATTTAGTCCGAACCTTTTGATGGGAAGGATTCACAAGGACAGATCCACCGCTAAGCGAAGCTTGTTGCGATGACCCTGCCCTCTACCCTCCGATCGCGCAATTCCGATTCTATGGCAGAATTTAGAGTCCAAAGTTTTACGTGCGCACAAAGCCGCGCACGGCCGGTCCCCTCGCTGACTTCGCCTGGCTACGGCCTGCCACCAACCGCAACCATACCTGTCAGGAGGCCCATAAATGTCGAGCGCCCGTCGCGCTTCGAACCCGGACTGTCATAACCGGGAACGCGTGCTCTCACCACGCGGAGTCCAACGCTCTAACCAACTGAGCTACGGGACCGGCTAAATGACCTCAGTTTGACCTCAATAACTCCTGACCTAAGGTGACCTAAGACTTGAAATTTTGTGTGAAGGTGTCAAATTGATGCCCGGTAAGGTACTTAATATTTGGCGGCGCTGCGCGCCGCCGTTTTCTTGCTATTCAAGAAAAACCACAGAGGGGGGGCAAATTGACCCCCCCCCCAGCGGGGCCAGGGTTAAGTATAAGAGAATACATATACTGTTTAAGTGGCATCACTTTGCATTTGAAAAGAGCGGGAACATACACTGCATAAATGTGGACATGTGGTTGTAAAACGTTGAGCCGGAATATACCTACGCCTTATTTTATAAGCTTGAACTTGGATCCAGGGGGAGAGATTAAGTCATATCACTCAAGTCATAGACCCGCTTTTCACTACCACGGTCCACGCTCCCCCCGGTCATTGGTCAACACCTTTTCCACTGCTGGTTTCCCCCCCCCCCCCCCCGGTCAGCACCTTTCGTCGCCGCCCCCACCGGCGTCCGTGGCTCAGCCCCCCCCCCCCCCCCCCCAACCTATTTTGCGATCCTACACCCCTGATCCTGCACGTGCACTGGGGGTGACCCACATGCATCGAGAGTATCCTATTTTTGGTAGAAGAGATGCTGCTACCCTACAAAAATTACCGCAAGTCAATCGCCCAAGCGGCTGCTGAGATATGAGCCTCTCAAAATCACTAAGTACTTTTGCAAAACAGCTTGAATACCCTTGACTTTTCACGTGGCACGTGCCACGACGGTCACTGAGGTGTATCAAAAGTAGTCAATTACGGGGTAGAAGGGATGGGGCTACCCAGCAAAAAAGACCGCAGGCCAATCGGTCGAGCCATAGGCGGCGGAACGGGGAGGGCACCGGGGCACCGTGCCCCCCCCCCCCTTTGATTTTGGCATTTTAACATTAGTCCTATGGGCGTTGCATGGAAAGAATGGGACCAAAAGTCGGCAATGCCCCCCTTTAATTGAAGGTGTTCCGCCGCTACTGGGTCGAGCGGTTGCTGAGATATAAGCCTCTCAAAAGCGTTACAGGCCGGGCCGGGCCGGGCCGGGCCGCTCATACTGAGATTTTTCCGTTATATCGAAAAGACTCGCTTCGCTCGCTGCGCTCGCTCGCTCGTAATCATATGATCAAAACAAAAATCAAAATCAAGACGCCAAAAGAAGTGTTTTTCTGCAAAACTCTGCCTTGATCCAGGGGCCGAACAGCTGGGAAGGATCTCCTACTTAGCCCCATCCCTTCCCCCATAATAACCAAGCTGCAAAAAGGCCAATACAGGCGAGGATTAATAAAGCACAGCTGTCTTAAAGGCCTTTTTTATCAGTTTCTCTCTACTTGAATTCTCATTTGTCCCCATCAGTCAGCATAAATTGATAGCTAACAGAATCAAGCAAAGCAGTTTAAAAAAAAAAGAAGTTGATAAAAGCTGACCCCAGTCAGGTTGCCAGTAGCTACCCCCAAAATTAAAAGGTCCCAACCCATAAATGACTGGATTCCTGGACTTCAAACTATAGTGCCTATTTGTATTGCCTAGAATGTAGGTGGAAGGCAGAGTTGGCCAGAAACTGGTAAGCATATGTTCTTATTGGCAAATGAGAAGTTCATGGCTCCATTGGAAAGATATGCGATAAGCATCCTTTACCTTTTTTTGAAACTCTCCACCTATGGCAAAAAAGGTGAACATCTGAACTGAAAGGAACTCAAGAAAATGTGGATGCACCTCAACTTGCACACGAATCACAATCTTCCTTGTCATGAATCTTCCTTGTCAAATCATGAATGCACTTTGTCAACAAAATGTGTAAAACACAGCATGATGTTTAGCAGAGCCTAGCATACCATTTTAGCAATAACATGAACAGGAATCTTATAAGACCATGAACTGACAAACATAGGTATACCTGAAACATTAGTCCCTAGCATGTTCATTTGCAGGCACTATACAGTCAGTGAATAATAAACCGAAGGGCTGACACCCACCCTGTAGGTATTATTTAGTTCAGCATATGTCAATGCAGATAAGCATAGGTGTCATTTATTAATAAAAAAATACTCACATTTTGAGCTTCCTTGCTAGTCACCAGCCCATAGAGCAGCACTGTCTATCAATCAAACCTGCAAAACCAGAATGTCAAACATTTTCCAATTTCTATTCCATGAACTATGAAGGCCTTCAATTTATATCAAACATGAAATCAACTTAGGACCATTGAAACAACACTTGTAATATCTGTCGCTAAGCCAATTCCACACAGCACTAGGTACACTAAATCCGCACCGCACCAAGCCAAAATTTGCACCGCACCGCACAGAATCCCCACCAGCCCAACAAGCCCGCACCAACGAGATCTCATAAAAATTGCCAGCTTGCAGACTGGGGTTGAAAGCTGTAGGTGGGGTTAGGTCAGGTTTGGCTGGATTTGGTTGGATTTGGTTTGGTTTGAGTAGAAAGCAATTTTCCTTGGTTGTATACAAAACAAGTGTGATGCGATGCCTGCTAAACGACTACTGAAGTTCTTACTGCTAAAATATTCCATTTCAATTTCAAATTATGTCTGGTAAACATCTGGAAATTATGCCATCAAAAATGAGCTGCCTTTGATGTCACTCGTGACAGCTGGCTGAAAACTAAAAAGAAACTCAAAAAGATAAGGAAACACAACACCACCCAGGGGCGGCGCCACGGGTTTTCGATAGGGGGGGACGGGGACCTGCCTGACCGAAAATCCCAAAAGTAGATACTGATCGTGTATGCAAAAAAAAAAAAAAAAAACGAGGCACGTAACGCCGCGAAACTTGGTAAAGCCCAAAACACATCGAATGGTGCATCCCGTTTCCAAACTTATCCTAGGACACCTAAGATCGATCACCTTTTCAAGCATCCTTGCCTCTAAATCAAAATTTGCAGTCTTGCCAACTCAAAGCTGGTTTCCTACAAGCTGCGAATTACTTAGGTATGATGAGTAGCAGTGCCAACCATTCTTACGTTTCGTACTTTCAAATTTTCAATCTTACGTCTGGTCAGCTTCATGGCTTCACCATCATATAGTCATGGAGGAAAAGTGGGAATGTCTTCTGCTCTGACAAGTGCGCCAAAACTGCAATATAATTTCAGAATCATGACATCACCACCACCACCTGATCCATATGCAACGGGCAGGGTGCAGCTAATGGCTAGCCTTCAGTGGTCATGTCATCGGTGGTCACTGAAAAGGTCATGCTAGGTCATGGAAGGTCACCAGCCATTATTTGATCACACTTTCTGATGGATTTTACTTACCAAGAGCTTCGCGGGAAAAACGAGCGCATGCATCGTTGAAAAAAAAAATGAGTGAAAGGGTCTCGGGTCCGGCGACCTCTGCAGGTGAAATGCCGGGTAGGATTCCGATTTTCACAGCCGCTGACGTAAGAAGGGGAGTGGGGGGGGGGGGGTTGGCTCGATTAGACCCCCAGCCGTTCGGGCCGCCGACCGAACTTAGTTTTGCAGAAAAAAAAAACGAGTGCTATCGAACCCCTTGACGAGAGGGAGCCGATGCTACCCAATTATAAGGTCTTGGGCTACTGCGTGCTTTTTTTGGTCCTGCCTGTGATCTATCCGAACACTTCTCCCCACAAGTGCTGGGGTTAAATGGCATAGATTTCAAATGGTTCCTGTGGTAGAACTGCCATGCTTGAATTCGACTAATTAGGAATGGAAAATATCCATATAGTAGCGGAAATCTATGGAATTTCAGTAAACTTGGTTTTGTCGGCAATGGGGTCTGGCAGTGGGGTGGGGAGGTAATAACCCTGCCTGGCGCCCCAAAAGGGGGGGGGGCACGATCCCCGAGGCCCTGCCGATCACCTTATAACTACAGGCATCACAGCTCCACACCTTTTGCAGATGGCCAGGACCCCCTGCGATACATCACAACAGCAATCTTTATTCAGAACCTGCCTTGATTAACCAACGATGCATTAAATACGACGGATAACTCTACAATGCATTATTATCAACTATTGAACGGGCCTCGCCGATAGGGGGGTACTGTACCCCCCTAACTTTCGATAGCGGGGGACCTGTCCCCCCCGTCCCCCCCGTTGGCGCCGCCCATGACACCACCTACTTGGTGATTATTTTAGATTTACGTACTGAATTACAACCAAATTTAAGCAGCTCAGTATGAACAGATATGACTATCATAAAGAAAAAAGCACTTTGATGTTGATTTAACTTTTGATTTAAGCTCAAGCTTAAGATTGATACCTAATAAACCCCTCATATAACCCTGAAATCGAGTCCATTCTCTGAAAAAGGACAAGGATGAGGAGAGCAAAAGATAGATTGATACCTATGCTGATAAAAAATAAATTGAAATTGAAATGTTCACTTACCAACTGGCGACTCAGACTGTATCCAGCTAGGTACTTAACTCCCTGGCTGTAACCATTTGATTTGGATTGGTATTAATGTTGAATATCTCGCAGATTTTCTTGCCGATCCAAACCCCACCCACAACAACTTTCTAATGCAATGGCATTGGCATGCAATGGCATGCAAGAAACGCCATGCAAGCAAAAACAACAAACTTGAACTATTGCCCAACAAAACAATTGCCTGAGCCGCTTACGTATTTGTGCGCTAGAAATGTAAAACTAGTATTGCTACCATATATAATCATAAAGGAAAATGAAGGAAAGTACTACCTTTGCCATGCCTTTGCCCGACTCACTAGGCGCGCGAATCGCGTATATTCGGATGCAGTATGAGCAGAGTATGGGTCCCGAAAAATTCCTCAGAAACTAGAGAAATTCTCGGACTTACTTCGAAATGCGCTGCGTTGCGGCATTGGCGGTTATGTGCGGCGTGTATGCCGCATGATTAGTAAGCGGCGACCACTAAATTAAAAACTCAATAGCTTTGACCTGTTTTCAATGGATAACACTGCATACCAAAAATGTCCATCGCTCTCGTCATAGGATATTTAGATTTAAATAACTAACTTATATACATCATCGTTTTGAACCAAATTAATCCTTTCAACTTGACCTTCGCCCGTATAGGTGTTTTTTTCCAGCCGCGAACGTATAAGGTATAACCCCTTGCCGTTTCGCTCCTGATCAAGCTAGAGCTTCGCGGAAAAAAACAGCGTGTTGCCCGTGACGAGAGGAAGCCGACGATACCCAATTTTAAGGTCCTAGGTCATCGGTTGACCTTCCAGGTCAGGTCAATGACCAAAAAGGCAGGAAAATTGGGACCTGTTAGAACGTTGGACGTGGTGATCGTGGGACCTGAAAAAGTTGCACCTCTATGTAATATGTGGGTTCGATATACTGTGTGACGTTCCAAGAATTATTTGGGAAAAGTTGCACTTCCGGAGAGACGGACGGACGGACGGAGAGACGGATGGACGGACGAAGAGACTGATGACGGACGGACGGAGAGAGTGACTGATGGACGGACGGATGGAGAAACGGACGGACGGATGGACGGACTGAGAGACGGAAGGGCGGACGGACGGACGGACGGACTGAGAGACGGAAGGGCGGGCGAACGGACGGAGAGACGGACAAAGAGATGGACAGACGGACGAGAGAGAGAGAGAGAGAGAGAGAGAGAGAGAGAGAGAGAGAGAGAGAGACAGAGACAGAGACAGAGAGAGAGAGAGAGAGAGAGAGAGAGAGACAGAGACAGAGAGAGAGAGAGAGAGAGAGAGAGAGAGAGAGAGAGAGAGAGAGAGAGAGAGAGAGAGAGAGAGAGAGAGAGAGAGAGAGAGAGAGAGAGAGAGAGAGAGAGAAGGGTGGTGAGAGAGAGAGAGAGAAGGGTGGTGAGAGAAAGGAGGATCAGATGAAGGAAAAGACTTAGAGATATGGATATTACTTGTCAGAGACTCGGGGAGGACGGGAAGGAGACTGATACCTAAAGAGAGGAAAGATGATCGTGAGCAAGGGGTTTGGGAGATAGGTAAGGAGACAGGGGAAAATGAGATTTTATTGCTCCGGTCCCAATAACACTTCCCAAAATAAAATATAATTGGTCGTAATTATCGAATAAGAATCGGAAATTGTCAATTGAACGTCTGATTTGCTTACATCGATCCGCCCTATAGGTACAGTCACCAGCACTTGCTACTAATCACCTCGTTTTTGTTCAGTAGTTTGAAGACCGATCAATTCTCAGTCGCGCAAGATACGTCAAACGATCCGTTTGGTCCTCCGATTTTCGAATATCTAACTTGTTTTTGTATATTCGAAGCATTTTGGGATGGAGAGCCAAAAAACCTCTTTTCTGCCCTAAAGTGTGCCCCAAGAAGTCGTAGAACCTAGCCCCGCCTCTGATCCACAGACCACTAGTGCCATCTCTTGTCAGCCGAACAAGCCGCAGAAGTAAATAATGTCACGTGACCTTTGCACACGCTACAATTACTACGCAGCTGTAGTGGGGGAAGCGGGGCGGAGGCGTGGAGGGGGACGCGATCGGTCGGCTGGGATCAGGTCGCCGACGTCAGAGGTCATCCGCCGGAGGGTGTTTGAGCGGTTGGGCCGTGTGGGCTGGGCCTGCGGAGTGGAGAGCGCCTGGACCTGTCTGGAAACAAGCCCTACAGCGCTGTGACAGTCGAGAATATTGTGAGGACATAGAGAGAGGGAGAGGGAGAGGGAGAGAGAGAAAGAGAGGAGGGAGAGGGAGAGAGAAAGAGAGAGGGAGAGGGAGACAGAGAGAGAGAGAGAGAGAGAGAGGGAGAGAGCAAGAGAGAGCGAGAGCGAGAGCGAGAAAGAGAGAGAGAGAGGGCGAGAGAGAGAGCGAGAGAGAGCAAGAGAGAGCGAGAGAGAGCAAGAGAGAGCAAGAGAGAGCAAGAGAGAGCGCGAGAGAGGGCGAGAGAGAGCGAGAGCGAGAGAGCGAGAGAGAGAGAGAGCGAGAGCGAGAGTGAGAGCGAGAGAGCGAGAGAGAGAGAAAGCGAGAGAGCGAGAGAGAGCGAGAGAGCGAGAGAGAGAGAGAGAGAGAGAGAGAGAGAGAGAGAGAGAGAGAGAGAGAGAGAGAGAGAGAGAGAGAGAGAGAGAGAGAGAGAGAGCTAAGAAAGACTGGAGGGAAGGGATAAGGACGGAAGGAGAGAAAAGAGAGACAGAATAGGAAAACCAGAGAGGGTAAAATGAGATAGAGGGCAATGGGTAAATCAGTGAGAGGGAGCGAGAGAGAGAGGAAATATTTAGTTGTGTCAGCTTGTTTCACATGTAAAACGTAAATTTGCTTTTCATCATTACAGCTTCGGATTTGAAATTAAATCTTAGCATCCTTATGATAAACCCACGTTGAAGGGATGCAGTAGCGGCGGAACACTTTCAATTAGGGGGGGGGGGGGCACTGCCGACTTTTGGTCCTATTATTTCCATGCAACGCTCATAGGGCTAATGTTGAAATGCAAAAATCAAAGGGGGCACGGTGCCCCGGTGCCCTTCCCGTTCCGCCGCCTAAGACGGGATGGGGACGCTTTTATGGTCGTCGTTGGGAGCTCGGCACTAATGGGGTCTGGGGATGATGTTGAAGGTTTCGCAAAAGTTTCATAAAAGAGATTCTATTTTGGCACAACCTATTTAACATTTTTTACGTTTGCTGTGAAAAGGTTAGGCCCAGTTCATTCAAAATCAGGTCCACGACTCCACAGCTTACAACAGGAGCTAGCTAGCATAACAAACCCGCGCCGTGTTGGTGGCATGAACTTTCCGTCGAGTGCTGGGGGGGGGCGTTTCACGCCCCTCCGTCTAACTCGGCTCCTGGGCCACGTAGCGACACGCGGTAAGCGGCAATCGAAAGAGCGTCAAAAATAAGGAGGAAAACACTCGGTCATTTTAAGGTCCGAGTAAAGGTCAGGTCACCAGGATTCATCAAAGGTCAAATTTTGTTGATTTCAACGATTTTGAACACCCGACGGCTAACTTGGGAACCAATAGAGCTACAGCGCCGCAGAAAAGCGCATTCGATGGCTTCTTTCGCCAACATGTCCTCAAATTTGACCTCAGATCAACGGTTTAGCCCCCAGAGGGCACCGCTCTGATTGACCTCAAATTTGACCTCGGATCAACGGTGTTTTCACCGCTCTAGCACGTCTCTGTCAAAAGTAAAAAACTGCTGAAGACCTTTTATGTCCTAAAATGACCTCAGGGGCACACACAGGGGTCACAGGTGCGATTTTCCGATTCAGTATGTCATGTTTACCTATGGACCGATGTTTGAGTGGGTGTAGAACGAAATTCGTCCAAAAGAGGCGCATTTCAATTTTCTCCCATTGACTTATACCTAATGGAGCAGTCGCAAAATTGACGTGACCTTAGGTCACAGATATACAAAATCCGAGGTATCCATTTTATACACACTATTACCCTAAGCAATCACTGAAAGTTTTAAAGTCCGCTCAGTCGGTGTAGCTACAGTGAGCTTTCGATTTTTTTTCTGAGGTAAGGTCACTTGACGTTACGGTGACCTGACCGTCGCCGTTTTTTTTTTTTTAGATATTCGCGAAAAACCTGAGAGGGAAGGGTGTAAAACGCCCCCCCCCCCCCCCCCCAGCATGGCGCGGGTGATCGACATAGCGACTCGGACTGAACAAATGCCTTTAACGTTTAAACGGTTGAATGAGGTGAGAGGATTGAGGTAGCCTTGAATCGGATTTTCTTCTGCTTGTCGGTAGTTTAGGTTGAAGTTAATTTCGCGAGCTGACCATAATCATTTAACAGGGAAAATTCAGCTGCACATCGTTCGGGTCAAAGTAATATCAAACATTCTCAAATTTTGTAGTAAAGAGCCAGTAGTTTACGAATATATTCAAAAAACAAATAGAAAAAGAATAAGCGGACCGGTTTCGTCTATCAAAGACTTCTTCGGCGCTTTTTAAAAAAAAAGTATAAGAAAAAAAACTAGTACAGTGACAATCGTTTGAAATAAAATTGGATTCAACTAAGAACTAAGAACTTCATTGTCCGAAAACCGCTGACAGTTGATAGCTCAATGACACTTAGAGCCGTGCATAAGGAGGCGTGAAAACACTCTCCTCATCTCGTTCTATTACGAGAGGACCATGTCATGGCGTGAGAAAGGTGTTCTCAAAATAAATGACACTATTATATGAGTGAATAAATAATCCGCGCCCCTTGGGCTATTGGCGGACCCTACCACCTGATCGGGTGGTGCAGCCGTTTCGCCTTCCACCTGAGATCTCGGAAAGTTACCGACCGATTTTGAACATTCAAAGAGCGTTCGATAGCCCCACCAGGGAACTACCTTGCTACCAGGTTTTGTTGACCTAGGTGCAACCCATGACGTCACAAGTCAGGTCAAACGTCGCATTTTTTCACCGATTTAGTCTAAGGAATGCGTTACAGTCAGTTAACACATCAATTAAAAGGCATGTAATCGAAAAACATCGATGGAGCGCTGGTTGTCTAATACATATGTTGCCTAAAGAGGTCATTGATGCCAGGTCAGTTCACAGAGGTCAGGTCACTAAGGGTTACAATATGAACCCAACTATGCTAGGGTCGTGTGATACATGTTTTATGGCCAATTTTACATTTATAATTCAATGGTGTGGGCTAGACGGCAATTGGGGCCATTTTAGATTGCATTCTGGTGAAGGTCAGGTCAAGGTCAGGTCAAAGGTCAAATTTGAAAGTTGATATGTTGCATAAAAGGGGTATCTATTCGATGCAGCTCATCACAGGAAATCCAATGGTGGTATTTGGCTTGCTCTGTGTGTTCTGTGACGGCTAAAAATTGAATTTGAAAATTTTACGTAATAAATTTCGAATAGTTTTTTTGGCCATAACTTTGCTAAAAATGGAGCTAACGAGTTTAGGTAAGTTTGGATATCTAGAGCAGATAGTTCTATAACATATATTTCAGTTTTAATTTTGAAAGTTGTTGGTATTTTCGGGGTGTTTACTTCCATAGTTTTGATGGTCAAAATCAATTTTTGTTTGGAAATAAGAGTTAGCAGTTTGGTAACGCTGTTTATTTTACATCTTTTTGATTTTGAATATTTTTCGTTATCTTCAAAACTGTAAGCGTGACAGCTCTTCCCGCTAAACCTTTTATTGGGTCAAAAATGACAGAACATGACATCCCTCTGACGTCATTTGTGACTAACCTTTCATAAGAGCTCTGGAAAAATTTTGTCATGCCCGGAGGGGTCTTGAAAGTTTGGTGGCGACATTTGCTATACTTTAGGAGATATCGACTGAAAAGGAGAGAGGGGGTATTTCGCGCCGCCCTCCCCCCCCCCCTCAACGGGGCTTTCAGTTGCTGCTCTCACAGAACTATTGGTAATATTACAACGTAGTGGAATTGCAAGTGGCAATATAAGCTTCCTGCCAGCGCCGGACCAGAGTTTAAACATGCAGGCTGAATTTTAACAATTAACTTTTGAATTTTTAAACCGTTGAGCTTTTTAGAAGTTGCCTATGAACTGTTCAGCTCCTTTTGTGGTCCATCACAGCGGGCTTGTATGTCATTTGTCAACCAAAATCGAATTAAAAACTTTTTATTGGGTCTGGCTACCTCGCCAACTTCTTAACTGGATCGTTTAGTAGCTTTTGATTGGGCACTGCCCACGTTGTCTGTCTAGCTTTTCGTGTCATAGACACTGTCTATGACACGAGAAGAGGCTGCTGACATCGTTTGTCGCGGTTGGATAATACCAATCCACGTCCCAGTGGCTGCTCGATCGCACTTTCCCTGGCCCACCTCTCCCACCAGGCTAGACTTTGCCCGGCACAGCCGTCGCCTCGGTGCCTTGGGCGGTGACCCGTTCAAAGGGGCTCACAATTCGTATGGTGCCGTGGCTCTCAAACCGATACAGAACAGTGAAACGCAAAGGCTCACTTTCCATATAAGGCGAACGGCTGATTCTGGCGCCGGGGCTTCATTCATGCTAAGGCGCCCAATCACAGCGCCGCATTTCAGTTAGTGTCGGGTGCAAAAGCTAATATGCTCCGCCCCTCCATCACGTGACCCTGCCCTCACGTGGCCTCAGTCACGTGGTGTTTCCACTTCTTGGCGCATGGCGGCGCTAGTCTCGCAGGGGCGGTGGTAGCTTGCTCCCCCGCCGTCCGGGGGTGATGGGTAGCAACTGCTGGTGACTGTACCCTGTTTGACATGTTTGCACCAAAGCCAACTTGCAGGCTATACATCGAGCCAGTGGTATATACTATACAATAAATACATCTCTCCCGGTGGTATACCTGCATAGAGCCGAAACCTCCGGCTGTATTTTCCCACGATCAGCCGGATTGCAAAGCCGTGTATTTTTCGTCCGTTGCAGGCGGCCGGCGCAATCTCCGTGAAAGAAGCGCTCCAGTGACAAAAGCACGAGCAGATCGCCTAAATGCCGGTGGCCGCGAGAATTTCTCTAGTTTCTGAAGAATTTTTCGGGACCCATGCTCTACTCATACTGCATCCGAATATACGCGCGCGAATCCAAGAAGGTATGGGCGGCCAAAAGGCGAACTTCATCATCCAACCTCGCCATCCTCAGAAAAAGCCCATTCGCATCCTCACTCAGCTCCTTTACCGGGCTGGCGCCTGGCGGTCAGTGGTCACCCCAGTCCCCACCTGACAACCGGTGGATGAGGTCACACTCGGGTCCTGTCCGGGGTGACCGTTTGGCAGGCGGGAGTCGGAGCCCGGCAGACTGTTCCAACGAGGCAATCCAGTCCCAACGGGACGGTCTCGCCTCTGCGGCTCCCTGTTGGTGACGGTGTCTCACACAACCCAATATGTTGATGTCCTGACCTCATATCCCATCATAGTTCTGCAATGATCTCTTTAGAACGAGAGTAAAAGCCTGCTGCCAACAAACAAAAAAGGCCAGCTTACGACCAATTTTCACCTGGCGGATGCTACAATAGTGTCGTGGTTCGTTTCTAAGTTGAAATCGTGGCCAATATCCAGGCCTTTAGTTTTAGTTATCAGTTAGGTATGCAGGCATGCACTTAGCACTTACAGTAGGTACTCGGGTAGGTACCTACCCAGTACCTAGGTCAGGTAGTAGGTACCTACCTACTAGGTACTGGGTCGAGCCCTCGGTCATGTAGCGTTTGTACAGCATATAAAGCTTTCCGTCCACGACCGTCCACCGTCCACGGTCCACGGTCCCCTTCCAGCGAGCCAGCGATGCAGTGCAGCTGTGCGTGTGCCGTGTTCGATGGTCAGCCACCGCAGCTGCTGCGGTCCCAAGACCCGACCCGAGCGCGCCGCGGTGACGATATAGTGAAAGTCAGCCGCGCGGCGCGTCCGCCATTCGGAGAGCGGCAGCTCCCGTTTATAAGCGACCATCAGGACAGGAGGACCAGTGAGTGTTACAGCTGTGTCCCAGGTAAGAGCACTTGCCCATCAGGGGATATCCGAGCCCGGGGAAGCCAGGGTTGAGCCCGTCAGCTTATAACATCAGCCGCTGGAAACTTTAGGTATAGCAATTGTAAATAATCCTATTTATTTTTATACGTCAAATATGGCAGGATGGTCGTCTTAAAACACATTACATAGGTACCGTACACAGCATGCCTCTTGCTAGTTAATACATCGTCAGAAATCAGGTAATGATTTTATAAATTCTACATTTACACAACCGTCAATACATATACCTGATCGTGCGTTGAGGTAAACGACCGTACAAAGGTTGAAAGAATAAAAGTTAGCGGTCAGCTAGATAGAAAGGTGGAGATACCTAAATAGTTCACGAAAAATCCAGAAACATAAATAAGATAAATCGATCATAGATCGATCAAGAAAGAAAGTAACTGCAGCCTAGCGCCGTGTTCACCGTTTTCAGATTTGCTGAACATGAGGCACTGTGTGGCGATGCTGGCGGTCGGAGTGGCCCTCCTGGGTGCTACCGCTGCCCAGGAGCAGTACAAGGGCTACTTCCAATACCTGAACGTGAAGGCGCCTAAGGAGTATGAGCACGGCTACAAGCGCGGCAACGAGTACCACAACCGCGACCACTACCAGCAGAACAAGGACCACCGCTTCAGGGCCAAGGTAAACGGACGGCTTCAGGAGATACTTGGACTGGGAGGGACTCCAGTCCGGAAGTTGGGAACCGGAAGTTATGCCACGATTAATGGGTCGATAGTCAGTAAAGTGACTATTGACCCATTTATTGTGGTGTAACCTCCGAATGTTCAGCTTCAGACATATATTAGAACTATACTATGTTCTACGGCCTTGTGAAATCGATCGTATAACTAATTTACGAATTATCTATTCATTTTTTGTAACTCATTTCACAGCTCGTTAAAATTTAAAAATGCGTTAAACGTTATAACTAACTAGCTGCCACATATCTATCGCACACAACCGTTATACGATTATTTGTGGGTTGAAAGAACGGTTTATCAGTTCATGTTCTGATTACAGGTCGGCTGGAACGATAAGTCGGGAGGAAGCGGAGAGCATTACTTCGAGTACAACCACGCACCCAAGCAAGCCGAATATAAGGAGCCGGCTCCGTACGCTCCGGAGCCGGCCCCGTACGCGCCGGAGCCGGCCCCGTACGCTCCGGAGCCGGCCCCGTACGCTCCGGAGCCGGCCCCGTATGTGCCCGTTTACGAGTGATTGACAGACTGGATGAGCAAACGAGAACCGTACAAGGGAATAGCTAGTCGATGGCAGCAAATACCAGGCGCTTTCATTTGTTATTTGTTACAGCTTCGCACATCGAAGCTGCACCTGAGTGATCCGCTTGTTTATTGTACTCGTATGTTGGCAGTCGAATACATCTAGGTACTTTTTCGAATGGGAATACTTCTTGCCTGTGCATTGTGCAGTACCTACACATTACAGTAAGTGCTGCATGTGCATTGTGCATTGTGCAATGTCCATCTTCGGAAGTACGACTGGATCTTTTTTTTATAAATTTAGCCCGAATGTTTGAATGGACGGCGGGATTGACAGAGCCGGAGCTCACGCTAAGCAGAGCTTGTTGCGTAGACTCCGACCTCACCGTCCGATGGCGCGATTTCAGGTAATGGGGGGACTTAGATGCTATAGTTTAACGTGCCCATCAAAGCCGGACACGGGTTGTCACACTCAGCTGACTTCAACTGGCTGCGGCTGTTCCCCCAACCGCAGACCATCCCCCGGTCAGGAGTCTCAAATATCGAGCGCCGGAGCGACTCGAACCCGGGCTTTCACTATCCGGGAGTAGGTACAACGCTCTACCAACTGAGCTACGAGACAGGCTGATGACTGAATGAAAGAAAGACAGTATGAATGAAAACTTCATATTGTTTTCTTGTACAACGCTAATTCCTACTAATATCAGGATGAATAGGTACATATTATCCCACACCGTCCACCGAAAACTGTTTATCAATGACCCGAGGCACAATGAGCGAAAATTATTATAGTGATGTGAAATTGATGTGTTGAACGTACTGGTATACTAGTCATTTGAAGTTTGTTACACGTCTTATTAGTAAACGTTATAATTGTTTGTTAAACGCGTTTAGCAGTTTTAGCAGTCAGACAGTCTACAATGATTCTTTATGAAGGATCAAATGATTGAAGTTTATGTCAACCAATCGACAACACATCGATGTGTCAAACATGGTTACTGAACGTTTAGTGGTAGGTATGAAAGGCGTTTATATGAAGATGTTAAAGGGCTTTTTAACGTATAATATGCAGAAACCATTTAAGTTTTTAAGTCAATTTTAATTTATTTTATGGTCGTGACGGGGCTGGGTTGGTCCGTTCATACCGACATTTTCCACAGATAAACTCGACCAATCACTCTTTAAATATCCCGCAATAAGATCCATGTTTATCATTGAATCGCAGGGCAGGCAATGAGTGAAAATTATCGAGAGCCGTGTAACGAACACGTTCAACGGCTGCTCTGCATTTCAACAAGTTAAAGGGACCCTCCCACCTTAACATTAGATTTGAGTTGAGATAGCCAAAATGGGGTCCCTGGCTCACAATTACCGGTTTCGGCACTCACAACATCGAGAAATGCCTTAAATCGGAAATATTGAATTTCAAAATTGCAGCATTTTGATTCAGAGGGGCTAATGCTTAGGAATACCCCTCTGAATGTGTGACGTAAGCGCAAATATCTAACGATTTTTAAATGTTTGACTAAAACGTTTTGTAGCACGCGGTGGTATATGCTATTTGCGCGCAACATCTGCCGCAAACGCCGCACTTCTAAAATAAAGTCGCTAGAAACAGCGGAGATCCCAAAAAAGTAAACAAAAGTAAAAGTCTAATATCTTGAAAACCGGTGAATATTTTTCGGTGAAATTTGGTAGATATTCGTTTTCGCTCTTTCTGAACCGAGCGACATCACTTTCATGCCAATTCATAAACTTTTTTGAAGGTGGGAGCCGGGAGGGTCCCTTTAATGAACGTCTAATAAACGTTGGAAACATGTTAAGTGTCTAGTGGCTGTGTTATCTATTCAGACATTCCGTATGAGTGCCTAATAAAGGAATCCATATACTATATTTATAGTGTCATAGTTGTATATAGATACCTAGATAGGTATGCACCACGTATGCACTCTCCTATAAAAACAAATTGGTAACAGCAAATAAGACATCCGGCGCGGGGGTCCAACATTGGCCGTCAACATGGGAGAGTGAAACCATAACAAGTGACTACGGTCACGGTGATATGGCGGTGCAGCTGAGCCGACTGGAGCGGTAACCGGTAATCGGTACAGCAGGCGATACGGTGTGTGCACAGACCGTATGTTGTGAGACACAACATGTTGTGTTGTAACCGAGCCACTTGCCATTAGCCGACAACAGGTGCGCAGCCGCATCGCTCGGTGAATGGGAGGACTGTGACGAAATAGGTAATATACACTGTGGTATTGACGACCACTGCGTGCTGTGGATTCGAGTGATAAGTGGAAATTGCTTAGAAATCGGAGGAGTTTCCGTTGTTTATAATGTGATTACGGAAGTAGTTTATAGAAGTAGTTTCGGAGTTAGGAGGGGGAGCTATGAAGAGCCCCCACCCCCAGTAGGGCGCGGGTTAAAGGGGGGGGGGGCACTGCCGACTTTTGGTCCCATTCTTTCCATGCAACGCCCATAGGGCTATAGTTAAAATGTCAAAATCAAGGGGGGCACGGTGCCCCGGTGCCCCCCCGTTCCGCCGCTTATGGAGCTTGTGTTGTTTACGGGTGTTCTGTCCTGCTGGAAAACGAAATCGACTTTAGGATACGTCTTCAGGATCCATGGGATGACGTCACTGTGAAGCAGACGTTCATGCATCGTCCCGTTCATCTTCTAATAGGCGTTAATGAGGACGATTGGACACTTTTTGCCGCCCGAGCCGTGGGCTGTCCTGGATGGCCTGACACATTCTCAGAGTTTTGACTGGACGTAACCGGCCTGACCTCGGGGCATCCTCCAGGACCTCTCATATTTCAATTTGGCTTTCGCGTAATTGTTCGTAGGGGCTCCAAATTTCGTCGCAACCTGCTCAGCAGTCATGCCCGATTTGGCCGCCGCGCGCGGGTAGGTATCCAATCCAATTCGGGTATCTTTGTTCGACATCTGGCTGTATTGAAATTTGAAGATATTGCGTGCGACTATATTGGCTTCCCGAAAGCAGCCACAGCACGCGTAGCAGCGCTTACTGTAAGAGGGCCAGACCTTTTTACCCACCTTGTACACGGAACGCCGTCGCCCGTCGGAATGGGGCTTGGGTCGATAGGGTTCAATTCCGGTTAGCCAATCTTTGCCGTAGCGCTCCGAAGTTGGTACGGCACCGTCACGGTGTGCTACGGCCTATAACGGCCAGGTCCGGCAGTGCCTCGTAGCAGTAGCGCCTGCTCTGGCTAACTGTGGGTGAAGTACCGTTGAGGTACGGCACGACTGATACGGCTTAAGTCCGGCCGTGGTGCGGGCGAGCTCCGGGATGTCGTTTCAGCTCCAGTAGGTCCCAGACCTTTCCCGTACTTCGGTCGGAGTATAAGTTCCGGAACTAGCCGGAGTAAAACCATATACCTACGGCCCAGACCAATTTTCCTGGCTGGGAAGCTATCAAAGCAATACCAAATACCAATACGACCCCTACGACGTGACTCTGTTGACCCAACAGAACCCTGGGCAATGACTTAGTCAGCTTAGTAAACTTGCCCAAAAAACATGGTCGAAAAGGTTGTTTGTAAGGCAGCAGCACGTACCCAGCCAGCAAATTTGGTCTGGGCCGTAGCTGGTTTTACTCTGGTAAGCTGCGGCATTTGCTCCGGCCGAATTTCAGGCAAGGTCTGGGGCTCTACTGAAGCTAACACACGATCCCGGAGCGCACCCGGACCACGGCCGAACTTAAGCCGTATCAGCACTCAACCATACGGCTGTGGCTGAAGTAGGTACCTCAACCGTACTTCAGCCACAGTATAAGCCAGAGCAGCTACGATCGGCAGCCGAACCTGGGTGTTCCGCCGCTACTGGCCGTAGGGAGCTGGACTTGAGCCGTGGCAGGTAGCCGGACTTGAGCCAGATTTGGTAGTCCGAAACCATACCAACTCGGGAGCGCTACGACAAAGGCTGGCAGCAGCGGTGGACCACCTAATAGTTCACTTTCACGAAATTATTTTTTTTGCAACGGATTTATGATTTTTTATGTTCAAAATAATCAGCAAAGAAAATAAAACCTTTTTATAACAAAAGATTATTTTCTATATTTTGATATAGGAAGAACTTTTCAGTTTCTGTAAGGCACACGCGATCCAGTATGAAAAGAGCATGGGTCCCGAAAAATCTTCAGAAACAGAGAAATTATCGCAGCCACCGGCATTTGGGCGATCTGCTCAATCTGATAATGTTCCCCTGAATGTCCTAATTGATCAGTACGAGAATTTCTCTAGAGTTCTCGTAGATAATTTCTCTACTTTCTGAAGAATTTTCGGGACCCATGCTCTTTTCATACTGGATGGAAATATATGCAAGGCACACATCCTCAACGCAAGACACCTTTTTCGGGACGAGAAATAGAATATCTTTGCCTAGGGTGATCGTTGGGCTGTAAAAGCTCCTGATTTATGCTCGTCTCAGCCCAAGCTACGGAACTGCTATTCCAGTTCAAAACCCATGTTAAAAAGTGAACTATTTCCTTTAAGGGGGGGGGGGGCACTGCCGACTTTTGGCCCCATTCTTTCCATGCAACGTCCATAGGGCTAATGTTAAAATGCCAAAATCAAAGGGGGAACGGTGCCCCGGTGCCCTCCCCGTTCCGCCGCCTATGGAGGCTGGCTAACCGGAATAGAGCCATATCGACCCAAACCTCGGCTCTGACGGCGTTCCGTTTACATCGGCTCAAGTCTGGTATGCCGGAGTTGCTGGGGCAAAACGGACTTGAGCCAAACCAAGTTGCTGGCTGGGCAGTACCTACTGCTGTTTTAATATTTTCCGTTAGAGCGAATGAAAAAAAGAATCGTCTGGACCTTACAATTAGGCAAAGTAGCAGCTCTGAATCTGGTAGCAGATTGGTGCTACCATTTCTAAAATTGCTTCGACCAGAAATAAGACGACATTTCTAAGCCGGTAATTTCGTTTTTAAAATTTCTTATAAAATAGAAATAATTTTATTTTATCTTGTTGCGTTTTTATTGAGGACATTTATGTGAAAAACTCTGCTGTTTTTTTACTATTCGAAAACATTTTACTAGATCTTGCACCACTACAGACGTTTGTAAAAAATACATTTATGGTGCATATTGTCGTTGGTTTGTCGCGGTTGTGTGTGTTATGTGGTGCGTTGGGGGATGACGAAAGGTTGTGGAAGATACTTTTGGATTAGTGTCATCATTTGGGATTTGGGATAAATTATTCGTGAGAAGTAAAAATGATGATATTGCGGACATTCTAATCCAAGAATAGACGGATTGTTACAGAGTTAGAGC